AAAAGGTCCAAAGGTGTAGGGGTGGTAGGAGGGGAAGGGGAAAGGAAAGAAGGGAAAGGAAAAATTATGAGAAAAGAAAAAAAGTGGAAATGAAATCTATGTAAATAGGGAAGGGTGGAAGGGGTGAAGGGTGCACAAGTAATGGGGAAAAAAATAAGAACCAAGATACATCATGTACAGGTACAAGCACCTAATGACAAATGCAAGTGTATTGTATACCTAAAATGTACCAATAAAAGAATTAAAAAAAAAACCTCATAGGCTGAAAGTTAAAGGGTGGAAAACAATACTGCATGCAACAGGAACCTGAAAAAAAAGCAGGAGTAGCTATCTTCTTTGCAGATCCAGTGGATTTCAACCCAAAATCTGAAACACTCTGGTCCCAAGAATTTCAGATAAGGGACAGTCAACCTGTATGTACAAATCTATTGTGAACATGTGTTTTCATTTCTCTTCAGTAAACATTTAACAGAACCATTGGTTCTTAACTGTAATACAAGAAATTTCTATATATTTTTCCAAAATGGTTTTATCATTTTACATTCACATTAGCAGTATTAGAAAGTTATAACTGGGTCACACCTCAGCTGACATTTGTTCTTTTAAAAACTTTAACTTAATCTCCCTAATGAGCATATAATACGATCTTGTTATTGTACTGATTAGTATTTTTCTGATTCTAGTGTAGCACATCTTTCCTTGTGCTGTACTGGCTATTTATCCTCTTCTCATGTCTACTTTTTAATTGGGTTGTCTATTAATGAGCTGTAAGAGTTCTTTACATATTCTGGTCATAGGTTATATGTATTATAAATATGTCTGGTTAAGGACTACTTTTCATTTTCTTAATGATGTCTTTTAAAGTTCTAAATTTTGATAGGATCTCATTTATCAATTTTTTTATACATTACGTTTTTTGTATCCTAGGAAATTCTTGTCTACCCTAAGTTCATGAACATTTTCCCTTATAATTTCTTCTTAAATTTTATAGATTTAGTCTTTCATGGACAGATGAAGAGTAGGCATATCTGCCCTTGTTCCTCACCTTAGGGAGAAAGCATTGTATCTTTTCCGTTCATATAAGGTGTTTTTGCTGGAACTATGCAGTACATGTCTTTTATCTGTTGTGAAGTTTCTGTTCTACTTCTAGTCTCTTGATAGCTTTTACAGTGAACAACTGTAGAATTTAGTCCAATACTTTTTCTGCAACTAATGACAGGATCATATGGCTTTTTCCTTTCTTCTGTTAAAATGATGAGTTATGGGCGTGGGTCTTCCAATGCTGAACCAACACTGCAATCCCTAAAATAAAACCACTTGATAAATACTGCCAGATCTGACTTCTAATAGTTTGTTTTGTTAAACAAATTTTTATTTATGTTCATACTTTTCTCTTCTATTATCTATCAAGTTTTAGTATTAGCACAATGTTGATTTCCTAAAATGAAGGGAGCCATGTTCCTTCTTTTTTCTGCTTTAAATGTTTGATATAATTCATCAGTTAAAATGTATATGAGCCTGTTGTTGTCATATAGGTAGGTTTTCAAGCTAGGAATATACTTTCTTTAATAGGTGCTATTCAAATTTTATATTTCTTCCAGAATCAGTTTCATTAATTTGTCTTCCAAGGTACTTCATAGAAGTTGTCAAATTTATTTCAAAACAAGATTTTTGTAATATGCTTTCTATACCCTTTTAAATTCTGTAAACCCTGTGGTAATGTCCTCTAAATCTTGATAGTGTAATTTAAAAAAATGTATAATTGCTATTGTGTAATAGAAAGAAAAGGTCTAAAGGAGTGGGGGAAGTGGGAGGGGTAGGGGAAAGAAAGAAAGGAAAAGAAAAAATACAAGAAAAGAAAAAAAATGGAAACAAAGTTTTTGTAAATAGGGAAAAGTGGACGGGGTGAAGGGAGGGCAGGGGAATGGTCAGAGGGGAAAGAACCAAGATAAGTCATGTAAAGGTACAAGATCCCAATGATATATGTAACTGTATTTTATACTTAAAATATATCAATAAACTTAATGAAAAAAATACTTTACTTCCAAATATAGAACAAATAGAAGAACTGTGTTACAATTTTTTTAAAAAAATCAACTAGTGACTGATTATTTAGGAAACAAACATGTACTATGGCCTGGCTAAGCCCCTTCTAAAACCCCTAGTGAACTGTCCTTAGGCTGGATTTTAGCCTTTAGTCTTGCAGGAAAAATAAACCTACACTCACTCTTCTGGTTTGGAGGGGATGTGCACTGAATTCTTAAGTCAGGAACTCAGATGCATTTTTATTTCCAGTGCCAAACTTAATAGACCAGATGTGACTGTATGAAGAGAGATTCAAAGCCCAGTCCAGGGTAACTGAAGAGTGCTAAGGTACAGTAAGTTGGTTAGTGATACCAGTAATAAGCACCCAATAGTGGGAAGGCAGAGAAATACCCCTATTTCACTCTTATACTTCCCATTCCTCCCTGAGACTTTAAGATTATTATGGGAGCTGGAGCCTATAATCCCAGCCCTCGGGGGGCAGAGGCAGGAAGATCACCACCAGTTTGAGGCCAGCCTGGGGCTACCTAGTGGGTTCAAGGCCAGCCTGAACTTCATAATGAGACTATCCAACAACAACAAAAGAAAGATTATTATGGGGAAGGAGGCATATTTCTCAAAAATAACAAGCTAGCTGTCTAGTCCTGAAATCTGGAAACTGATTGAATTTTATCATCATCATTTTCATCATCATTATCATCCAGTGATAGTTTCCATTTATTGATATCCAGTTATGTGCCTTGCACTTTACATTTATTAGCTCATTATTCTTTACAATAACTTTATAAGGTAGAAGATTTCATTAGAGTCTGAGATCCCACAGCTGATGGAAGGAGTCAGTTTTTAAATCTGGGCCTGCTTGACT